CTGCCTGCCATGGAACAATTAACCCTGTCTCCTTTTAAATGGATTTTTATAAAAGATTTTGTAGGGTCCTTTTATTTTGATTTTCTTCCACCTGAAATACAACAGTTTGCTTATCAGGATTGAGATACTGTGTATGCCAAGTATAACTTGTCTTATTTATTCTGTATTAAATGAACAATTAACTTGATTATAATATCTAACTTCAATATAAGAATGTAAAAAAACTGAGAATGTAATTTTTCAACTAGTAGATTTAATATAGAATGATAATGAATGTTGACATGGAAAACTTAACATCTGGAATAGCTACCAATCAAGGGAAGCAATGTCCTGTTCTGGCTGAAATCACGTGTTCAATTTTTATTTTACAAACTGCATGTACCGATAAATGCATCGTTTGTCAGAAATATTCACTTGCCGATCTGACAACTATACACTGAAGGTTTCTAATGCCCAAACTGATAATTTACTTGCCCAGTCATTTAGACAACCATTAATGCTGATCCCTGTAAGATTTACAGAAGCTTCATTTGCTATCCACTTAAACTGTTGCTTTACCTTTCAACAGGTTTGGACCCATCTCCCAAATGGTATTGAATATCCCAAACAGGTTATTATGACCTGAATGAGCTATAAAAAATATCCTAAACAAGCTATGTAAATTTTAGATTAATTCATATTTTGAATGAGAAATTCTAAACTAGACTAATTCTTTGCCAGAAAACAGGAGAGATCTTGGGACCCAAATTACAGTCAATTGAAATGTATGCTGTACATACACCCCCTAAAATGTTGTCACACCCTAAAATATTGCAGAAGTGGGAGTACAGTAGTGGACAGTGAGTTTCTCGTTTATTTACCTTGGAATTTCTGTTAAAGGTCAGACGACATGTTCCTTAATAATATACAATTTTTCCTAAGATTTTGTCATTGAAGTATTGCTACTTTAATAACAAGTTTCCTCACAAAATATAAAGGTACCTTACCAGGCATTTGTGCAAATCAGAGGATGGTATTTCCTATATAATCCTATTAGAAATTGCTAGTATTGCCAATTACACAATTTTTGGTGTACTTATTTTTCAAGACATTATGAAAACGGATTAGAGATCACAAGAGAATGACAATTATGAATAATTTTTGATATATTTCAAAGAGAAACAAAATAGATATTTGAGGAATGTGTCATCCTTCAGACCTTAAATGCTTTCTAAACTTAAAATACATCTTCTGTGTTCTCATTGCTCTCTTGCTCCACCATAGTGAAGTGCTTGCATGATTGTGTGATCAAATTCTATCCAAAGGGGTATTGTTTTATAGAAATTGGTTAGATTTCCAATCTAGATTGTATGGTGCACATATATACACAATTCAAATTTGTAAAGTGCTTTTTTGTTTGAAACGAGATGTTTGTGAAACACTTATGCCCCCCCCCCCCCCAAATAATTGGAATTTTTCTACGTCCAAGGGGCATAACTCTTGTCAAAAATTGCTCAATGGCACCCAAAACAGAACTCCACTAGATATTCTTATGATAAATCTGTATACCAAATTTCATTTCAGTATGTGCAACCTCTGCGAAGAAAATAAATGGAAACTGAAAATAATTGGAATTTTTTTTATATGTAAGTCAAAGGGGCATTACTCTGTCAAAAATTGCTCAATCGTACCCAAAACAGAACTTGATCTAGATATTTTCATGATAAATCTGTATACCAAATTTCATTTCAGTATGTGCAACCTCTGCGGAGAAAATGTACGGAAACTTAAAATAATTGGAATTTTCCCAAGTCCAAGGGGCATAACTCTGTCAAAAATTGCTCGATCGTACCCAAAACAGAACTTTACCTAGATATTCTAATGATAAATCTGTATACCAAATTTCATTTCAGTATGTGCAACCTCTGCGAAGAAAATGAATGGAAATTGTTGATGGACCAACAGACCGACCAACCGACAGGGGGGCATAAAAATGTCTATCACACATATTGGGGGGGGGGGGGGGGGCTTGGACCTTTTTCTCACATTTTGGTTCCTTTTTTTTTTTCTAAATCTGGACTTTGTCAGTCCTTCAACCTTACAGCAACAAAAGGGGGGAAGGGGGGGGGGGGGGGGGCAACCAGCATCTGAATGAAAGTTTACTATAGCAAAATACTAAAATACATTTTCTACTAAAGTACATTTTCTTTTCTTCTTTAAATCATTTACATTGTAAGCTCTAGAATAATGATGCTCCTTACATTCAATCTAAATTTAAAGTGCATCAATGATCATAACCATTTTCTGATTGGATAATTGATATTGTGATAGCTCATTGTTTCAAGATGTCTATCAATGTTGTTCCTTGAAAAAAATCACAGCCACTTCTGTTTAATTTATGGACACTAAGGCTGTTTTTCATAAAATATAAACCTGTATAGGCCATTATGCACAACACATATGTTGTCTTTTATAAATTTTAGTAAAGTGGGATAAAAATTGTGTAAATTTTCTTTAAAGCTATATATGGCATATCTGAGCTAAAAAATAATAATACGAAATTGAGTGTAAATATACATATGTTATGTATGTTCAAATTAAAAATTTTCATCGATTTTGAACTCAGATAAACTCACGTTTCTATAGTAAAATTGACTTAAACTTTGCTATAAATGTGTTGAATATTAATAAGATCCTCCATGTGCAAGACTGCAGGTAAATGAAGCACTAAATCCATGATGGAGGAAGAGGTATAAATGTACATGATATATATAGTTAATAAAACACAATAATTTTCTCTTTACTTCTCTCAATATCTGCCCATCTCTTCCTTGCTTTTATAAATTCTCTCTGAATCTGTTAAACATGTTAAACTCCTTGTGTTTATTGGTCTATCCCTCATTCTCATTGTTTGCCATTGTTGTTTATTTCTAAATATAGTTTCACACAATCAAATCAAAGTGGAGTTATTCAAATTTCTATTATTTTTGTGGAGTCTGTAAACACATTGGTAATAGTTTTAAAATTTGATATCTTTGAAACGCTATTGATTCAAATTATGTAACGAACAGAAAAGTCCTATCTTTTTATAGAGTAATGAAACAAATAGAAAGATCTTTTTAATTATCAGTTGGATATCTGACCTTATCAAAACTATGCCAAGTATAGCTTTTTAGAGTACACTTTACATGCTTTAGGTATATTTTTCTTTACCACTGCAATAAACATCTTAAGGAAACAAGTCTTTCTGTTGTCAGATAAAAAGAAACATGGTCAATACCATGTCCCATAGCCCATATGGGATATTTACTTATAGTTCATTTGGGTCATAACAGCGAGCGAAGCCTGCAGCGCAAAGCGCTGCTCACAAAGCAGGCTCAATAGATTAACGTGCAAGAACAGAGGAAATTCGAAATGAAATCTGTACATTCATCAGGCAAATTTTCTAGTGCAACATTCCCATAATTCCTTCTCTACCAAGACTCCATGCAAAAGTATTGCAAAACGTGCAAAAGACCAAGGATAATTATTCTTACCAAGAGATACGTTTACTTTTCTTTCTTTGCAGAGACCTTAGTCCGAAATATCTGATGTTTTCCTGGCTTTTTTTTAACAATTTGATACTTTACGTGCCAGGAAAACGTCAGAACCAGCGCCATAACGAAAACTAAGAATTTGCCGCCTCCAACCAGAGGCGACATTCTCGGGTTAATTTTCGATACTTGTGAACTGAATTAAATGACAAACTCGCAACATATCAATAGTACAATACTTTTAGTACTCACCAACATCGGTTTTATGGTTCGTTTATATAATATATAATCCGATGAAAACAATTTATCGGACTGTCGAGATTTGTTTTCATTTCGTGCATTTTAAAAATCTTGCAAGTCCTGTATCAAATGTTGAGTGATGTTTTCTTTTCAACGACATCGGTGAGTACTAGAAGCATTGTGCTATTGATAAATTGTGAGTTTGGCATATAATTCGGTTTGCAAGTATCGAAAATCAACTCTGGCTGGAGACGGCGAAATTTCCAGTATTTGTAATGGCGCCGGTTCTGACGTTTTCCTGGCACGTAAAATATCAAATCATTAAAAAGGCCAGGAAAACGTCAGATATTTCGGACTACAGAGACCTCGAAAGAAACAAAAAAATAATTGCATCTACTTTACAACGTATTTCATTAAACATTGCACATGACCTGTAGTTCTCATTCAACCAGACACTCGGCTGTCTCCATAAATTCCGACGTCATATGACCTCACAGTCTAGACAGTCTTCAAACTCAGTTTGAAGAGGCAGATCAACATTACAAGTGTAAGCTGTGTGTAGGTTTTTGATGGTACAACTGCGCTTGCCCCAACGGTCACATAGTAAAACATATTAAACTGTTTGGGATATTCTCCCATTTTGGAGATTGCTCCCAACCTGTTCAATATGATTTAAAAAACATGTAATGCAAAAAAAAATTAATAATAAAAGGATTCGAACCCAGGCCCTCAAACTCTAAACAGTTCCATACCCTCTAAGCTATCTTGCCACCAGTTAATGAACCTGCCTGTCCGCCATGACCCTTTCGACAAAACTAAACACATCTCAGTTCCAGTTCCAAATTAAAATTTGACATTGCAATGACAGGTGGTTGCATAATCAAGATATTTTTAAAAAATGCCACTATAACGAACCTGGAAGAATGCACTAAATATCTGCAATTGATGAAAAAATGTAATATGTCTTTATCAAGACTCTTCTCTCCATATATTCATTGTTTTCAAGAGTGTCATGTGCATCAATCTAAAGACACACCGTTCAAGCGGAAGTGCCCAGCAACAGCGACGGATATAAGTACGAGTAAAATAGTTCATAACTTTTTGCTCTTTAATTACAATACGATGAAGGTAATTAATTAAAATTGAAATTAAATTTGATTTTCAAAAAGAAAATATTCATTATGTTTTCCAAAGATTTAAGATACAATGGTATATCATCATACGCATTAATTTTAGTTTACCGGAAGTTGACTATTCCACAGCAACATGGACGATACATGATCCTTCACTTTTTCCGTAGCAAGGACAAATATCTGATTTTATGTTAAAGATGACTTACTCTTCGAAAATCAGACTAAGACTTAAATAAGTTTACTGATTAACACTTTAAAACAATGATTTCTGAAGCAGAGCTTTCACTAATGAGCTCAGAAGTGAACAAAAATCCAACCCTCCCACTCTCTGCCTCTGCTGAGGAAAGCAAACCAAAAGTGGAAGGGAAAATACCGAATGGCAAAATAAATCACACCAAGGACGAAAATGGCCGCATTGTCCATAATCATCCTAGAGATCAAGACAATTATAAGAGAGAGTTACTAGCTCAGTGCACATGTGATGTACATCATTCAAAGGAACTTGAAGTTGATGAAAGTTCAGAGCACATGCTCTGTGAATCAGTGCGAAGAATCCACATCGAACCACAATTACAAGGAGAAATTAAGGAAGTTGACGGAATCAGTTACACTGTATATGAATCAGAAAAACAAATGCCAGACATTATGAGGCTCATTACCAAAGATCTTTCTGAACCCTATTCCATTTACACATACAGATATTTTATCCACAACTGGCCAAAGCTGTGCTTTTTGGTAAGCAGTGAAGTACAAAATGAAAATTCAAGTACTTAAATGGACATTTTTCTGCTTATTTCGTAGCTGATTATGACAATAATTGCTTGTGCCTGTTTTTCCATTTTTTTAGGGAAATATTTCTTATTTGAAACGGTAATGGAAAAAAGAGGGGAAAGATTAATAATGCAATCAAATACCAAAAAACAAAAAAAACAAACTTAGATTGAATATTTGTATGTGATAAATAGGGCTGTAACAGTTCTATAAATTTTTGTGTTAGTGTTTTTGTGTTCAGTATTAATTTTTGATTGGGTTACAGATTTTTTAGCTCTTTTTTTGTGTTTTTATCATATCTATGTCAAGGGTGTAAACTTTTTATACAAGACCTTGGATCAGAAAACTTCACAATGTTTCAATATAATTTAAAGATCCATCGACATGATGGTACTGATGGTTCAAACAAATGAACATGATGAAACTTGATGATCTATCAAATATATGTATATGGACTATCATATCATGGAGATCAACAATAAATATGAAAAATATATGTACTGTCCATTCACACATTATATATTTAAATGGAATTTATATTAACTATTTAATTTATAATGAATTTACTGATTCAGAAAATATAAAATAGTTTCATTAAACATCTTACCATGTAGACAGTTTAAACTCCCTATTTATTCAGGATAAGGTACATGAAAATATCTCATAATGTCTGTCATATTCAGAGGGTTTTCATCAATTAAGTCATTTGAGATAATATTATTGCATGCACCAGTTAATAAAATTTGTGCCAGGCACGCACAATAACTGAAAAAAAAAAAACAGTCAAACACACCCATGTATAACCCATACTCACCGTGTGACATCATACTTCAAGATTTATGAACATAAAAGCCATGAATGAATGAATAAATAAATAAATGAGATGAGCATGCACAAATTATTATACATAGTAACACATAGTAAATAATGATCCTGTGACATCTGTTCATGAAATTTAATTCACAAAATTCACTTTTAAAAATTAACATAATGACTATGATAGTAGAATGATACTACAGGGCTGTATTGAATAATTAAGTATTGACATCAGTGGTTAGATCTACTAGGACTTCACTGAAATTTATATATTTGTAGGCTATGGACAAAGAGAAATGTGTGGGTGCCATAGTTTGTAAATTAGATATGCACAAGAAAATGGTACGAAGAGGGTATATAGCAATGCTGGCTGTTGATGCAGAGTACAGAAGGAAAAAGATAGGTGAGGTTTACTGTATGCAGAGACATGCAGTGGCGGATCCAGGAATTTCATAACGGGGGGCACAGTAGAAGGCAGGGAGGTCTGGGGTCTGTATTGAAGCCCCCAGTAGGTCTAGGGCAAAGCCCAGGTGGGGGTCCAGTAGTGTTGTACCGATAATCAGAAAACATCGATTGTCAACAAAAAAATGCTACCGATTCCGATGATTGATTATAATTTTTCATAATCGATCATCGGAAACATACTTCTAATACAATACATTCCGGAATTATCCATTTCAGGTTAAAATTTATTTCTTCTTAATGAAAGAAAATGGCGTCTGCATCTGATACTAACCAACTAGCACGAAGCAGAGGTATTAAGAGAGGAAAGGTGCATATATAGAAAGTGTAAAAGAAGCAAAACAACAAAGAAAATAATATATTATATATTTTATATATTCATGTTACAGAAATAATATGAAATAATTAAATAGTCTGCTTTTTATATACAAAACTATGACATCCGATTATAATCGATAAAATCGCATCGGAAGCAGTAACCGATTCCAACCGATGATCGATTATGAAAACTAACCGATGTCCCATCACTAGGGTCCAGGGGCAAAGCCCCCAGAAGCTGACAAATTCTTACAAATAAGAGATTTTTTCCCTTGATTGTGGATAATAGACATAAAAGTTCTACATACAAAAAATTCAAAGGGGGGGGGGGGGGGGGGGGGGATGTGCCCGGCGCGCCGGCCCTGGATCTGTCTTTGACATGGAAAAAAAAAATTTATTTCCTAGACAGTACATGTATTATATTCACTTGCTTTAGATCTTGTGCTTTCAAAAAAATAATGTACTGGACTTGTCATGATCATGAAACAAATGGATATGAAGACATATTAAAGATTTTATTCAGTATTGAAGTGTTCCCTTTCTTTCTTATGAATGTTTACTCTTTTTTTGAAGGGTCCCGTCTGGTATTAAAAGCCATTAGAGGAATGATAGCTGATGACTGTGATGAGGTATGCTATTAATTCTTGTCTTATCTTGAGGTCTGTTGGTGATATTGGAATTTCTGAAACAAGATTGTATTAGCAATATTCAGTTCAATTTTAATGGACAAAATATGATCATAATTGTAATAAATTTACCTTCTGATTTTTCTTTGGTATTCTTAGTAAATCCATCTTTTCTTCTTTGGTCATGTTGGTAGACTTTTATATCCATCCCTCATCCCTTCCCTTGCCAACAATGTTTGGATGTATATATGAGGGGTTATCAAAAAGTTCGTGGACTGATGCGATAAAATTAATACTATGTGGTTTATAATTACAAAATTTTTAAGGAACGTTAAACAACAAAAGTTTAAGAAGTGTTGAAAATTTTAGCTTGATACGTTGAGAATTGGCCAAATTATTATAAAATAAAAAAGGCATTATATGATCAATTGGTGCTGTCGATGTTTAGTTTCATGACGTCCGACAACGTCATTATTTCTCAATGCTTGCTCCTTCTGTCTCAATATACTTATCTTGATGAGATTCCCTGGAGTTTAGTAAAACCTAAAACCTGTCTTGTTTATATGACATAACAATGTCATGAACAGCTGATTTCAATGCACATAAAATTGTAAATGAATATTTACTTAGGAAAAGATCCTGGCTTGATTATGCCAGCATATTTTGCTTGTTGGAGTTCAATATAAAACACATAATCAACATCATTTTTTGACGAGGTTGACTTTTCACACCTTGACTACAAATCGACATTAACTGTTCATCTCTCATCTCTTTGAATCTCTTTTGGCATTTAATAACAAGTACTCTGGATGCATTTTATTTCTCTGTAGCCAGTTTAAACTTTCCCTAAGTCTATACCAGTTTTTTTCAGAGGCAAAACTTTATAGAATTATGGAAACCCCCCCCCCCCTTTTTGACGTCATTTTCAAGCCCTTAATTGTATAGACACTCCTTATGAAATATACGATAAAATTTCATAGAACATACAGAATGGGGTAAAAATTGCACATTTTGCGGAACAATTGTGTCCTATCACATGCCTGAATTAACGAAATTTTTAGATGTCAAGTGCTCATATTAAAAGAGTTTTTCTTGGTTACACTGAGGTTGAAAAAACATCATGTTTGCAGTTGCGCCGCCTGGACATGCCATTGCTTATAAAAACATTACTAATTTATTATAAAAATAAAACTTATGAATTGTGGTTTATTCTGTAGATAGAAAAGATGATGCTTACTAAATATATTAAAATACATTGATGTACTTAAAGCGGTTTTAATTTTATGGCGCTAGTCCACGAACTTTTTGATAACCCCTCGTATATATAGTAATTAACTTTCATGTCCATCTGCCTGCACCTCCAAGCAATACCGTAGTTCCCAATCCTAGCTTTGTAATGTTGTAACGAAAAACATAAGAAGTTTAGAGTGACTAAAAGATAGTGATGTCACAATTGTTGCTGACTTTTGATTAGCGGTTGTCATAAATGAAACAATGTGAATAAACAATTGTTATTTTCATAATCAAAAATTGCCAACGTTGGTAACTTTTCAATATATGAACTAACATTCCCTTTTTTACAACAACTTAACAAAAAACAAAAAAAAATAATGATCAAAGATAGTCCCTTCAAGATGGATAAAATGGTCAGATTTGACAGATCTATCCTTTTCCACGAAAAGTCAAAGTAAAAGCCTGAGACTTTATTCCTTGTAACAATGTACATTAATTGCATGATTGTGAGAGAAATATGAAGATCTCTCACCACAGCAACTCCTTTTGTATGAGTTATAATTATTACCTGCTAGTTTGCTTTAGATTTAACACTATCCTCCGCATATGTTTTTAATGCTGCATCAGTAAGGAACATTGCAATTATTTAAAACATTCAGTTTTCTATATGTGTATCCACTGTATGTTATACAGTGTGCTCCTGGGTATATAGCAGATAAACTAATTATGTGGTTTTGAAAGCTCAAATGAGTTTTTCTGATCACCTGTTGTCCATCTGTGTGTAAACTTTTTACATTTTCAACTTCTGGAGGACCACTGGACCAATTAAACTGAAGTTTGCACAAAGCATCCTTGCATAAAGGGGATTTTAAATTGTTTAAAATAAAGGCTAAGCCCCCGTCTAAGGGGAGATAATCAAGGAAAAAGATAAGGTTGGATCTTTAAAAAAAACTTCTCAAGAGTCACTGGACCAGAGAGATGAAACTTATGTGAAAGCTTCCTGAGGTAATGTAGATTGTAAATTGTTCTTATCATGGTCTCCAGGGTTGAGTGTGGTCACAATAGGGAATCAAAGTTTAACATTGTAATACATGTATATAGAAAATATATATTGTATGAAAGCTTCCTGGGGTAGTGTAGATTGTTAACTGTTCAAATTATTTTCAAATCATGTCCTCTGAGGGTAGGATGGGGACACAGTAGGGAATCAAAGTCTTGTATAGGAATATATATGATGAAAAAATATTTTAAAATCCTTTCAAGGACAGTAAAACAATGATTAGTCAAATTATCTCAGAGTGTACATTCAAGTTTGTTCAAATGTTTAATAATATAATTTCATTGGTAACTGCAAAGGATAAGATAGGTAAGGTACACATTATCAGTTCACAATACTCAATAATCATTTAATTAAAATTCATTAAAGAAACACTGGATAGACTAGGTAATGAAATGGTGTTTAAACACAAATTAACATCTTGAAAACTGACCAATTACTTCAAAGTCAATGCAGAGAGCCTTAATTATCTCCCATTCAGCTAAAATAGATAGTGAAAATAAATAAAAATGAAGACATTTTCAAATTTACACATATTTTAAATTTCTCCAACTAACTGATTATAGCTTTTTCTAACCAATAACCACATTCCAATTGAGTAATTGGTTACAAATTGCCATCCCTATTATGTAATTATTAAATTGACATTCCATGGATCTTTTACAAGATTGTATTATCCTTAGGTGACCATTTAGGCTCTTGGGCCTCTTGTGTGTTTGAATATAAAAATATAACAAACATAAGTCATTAAGATGGTATTGCCATTTATTTCAGGTAGTTCTTGAGACAGAAATTACAAACAAGGCAGCGTTGAGATTGTACGAAAACCTGGGCTTTGTGAGAGATAAACGATTGTTTAGATACTATCTCAATGGAGTTGATGCTTTACGGTTAAAACTGTGGTTAAGGTGAAGTTGATTTTAAAATGTTAGGGATGTAAATATAAAACCATCAAATTAAACTCCAAAAAACAATGATGTATTACTTCACTGTTATATGACTGTTTTAATAAAAGGATTGCATTATGTGAGCCATTTTGTTGCAAAGGTGTGTACTCATTTTAATGATACTGTGTGAGAAATAAAATGTCAGTGATTTTCTTGAAGTAAAATAAACTTTGGAATGGTTATCATTATTATTATATTTGACTTAATGCTGCTACATGCAGTATCAGGATGTTCATATTCAAGACAAAGAAAGATAAAAATATCCAATGGCTGTTGTATATTGCTGGACCAAATTTTTTGAAAGAACACTGAATAAGACAAAAATTTTCTTCAGTTATTTTATTTTTTTCTGTGTTTGCTCTGCTCTCAATTTGTATTGTTTAAATTGGCTATGAGCTTGAATACTGTTCATTATTTCCATATTTCATTACATAAATTTAATTGTGACTTTAATGTGAATAAGAAATTATTTTATTTAAGTATGATCTCACAAAATTATTAAGTTGGAGAGATTTTAAAAACAATGTTTTGGTCATCTGCTGAAAAGATAATGTGCATTGTAGGAATTATAATGTCCATGTCAGGGTTATGGTAAAAATATCATGGGCGGGTTTTTATCTGATTTCTTTTTAGCTCACCTGAGTTGAGTGAGCTCAAGTGAGCTTTTCTGATCACATTTTGTCCAGCATCCGTCTGTCTGTAAACTTTTCACATTTTCAACTTCTCAAGAAGCACTGGGCCAATTTCAATCAAACTTGCCACAAAGTATCCTTGGGTGAATGAGATTCAAGTTTGTTCAAATGAAGGGCCACACCCTCTTTCAAGGGGAGATAATTAGGAATTAGTGAAAAAATAATGGTATCCTATTTATATGGAAGCATCCTCAGGTGTTGTAGATTCAAGTTTGTTCAAATCTTAACCCCCAGGGGTAGGGTTGGGCCAAAAGGGGGAATCAAAGTTTTAAAGAGAAACATATAGGAAAAAACTTTAAAAACCTTTTCTCAAGAACAGCAAAGCCATGATTGTTCATATTTATGTGGAAGCATCCTCAGGTAGTGTAGATTCAAATTTGTTCAAATCATGACTCCCGTGTATAGGGTGGGGCCACGATGGGGGAGCAAAGTTTTACATAGGAATATATAGGAAAAAATCTTTTTCTCAAGAACAGAAAAGCTATGATTAGTCATATTGATATGGAGGCATCCTCAGGAAGTGTAGACTCAAATTTGTTCAAATGAGGGCTGGGGGGTAGGGTGGGGCCACAGTGGGGGATCAATTTTTACAAATGAATATATAGGGAAAAAATCCTCTGATCAAGAACAGCAAAGCCATTTGTTATATTGATATGGAAGTGTCATCAGGTAGCTTACAATTCAAGCCCCCCCCCCCCCCTCCCCATGTAAACTTTCATACTGAACTGATCTTTTCTTATTTTCCTAGCCAATGTGCTCAGTTGAGCGATGTGGCCCATGGGCCTCTTGTTTATATACATATGCCTTTTCTAAAGATATAGATGATTTCTGACACACACCCCCCCCCCCCCAAAAAAAAGAGAAAAATTTAAAAAGTTGATTTCAATTTTGACTTGGACGTTGGGATGCGAATTTTAAAATTGACATTCTGAGGCCTTATAGTATTGTTGGTATTGTTGAAAGTAAATTAAGTATCAATATTATGAGTAAAATATATGGTTAATTAACAGACGCCAGGCTTTAAGTGGGGGAACGCATATAATACAAAAACTAATACATGTATCTGAAGCGAGCAACAACAAAAAAAAAACGCCGTAAAAGGAAGGAGTTTACAATGCCTGGACCTGTAGCTCTCTGGTTTGTCTGATTTTTTTCAACCATAGAGCTACAGTTCTGCAGCTAGGTTGGTACGATGGAGCGAAAGTGAACATCGCTTCATCGTCATCGGGCTATCGTGTCATCGCATTGTTGTGCCATTGCATCATCGTCTTCGCGCTGTCGCACCATTGATTCGTAATTGCACTATCGACCCAAACCTCGATGGTGCGATGATGCGATAGTGAACTACTGGCCCTATCCGAATTCCATAATTTTTAAGGACATTCGCACAAAACGAACGTTGTCAATGGTATCCGATTAATAAATCGTCCGACTACGGTATGTAAAACAATAAAGGGTTTAGGTTTAATGACATACGCAACGTACCTTACTTACTGATATTTTTTCAAGATATTCTGAATTTAAGATTATAGTGCCAACAGATGTTCGTAGACAAAAACTCAGCATGCATTACCAGGGGTTTTGAAAAGATATCAATAGGTGAAAATTCTTGTATAATTCAAAGAAAAATATACATAATTACTAAACATATATTCTGGATGTTTTGTTTACCCAAACTTGTTTTAGAAGTGTACAACAGCATATATAGACATTAAAATGTAGCACACAGTTCCTTTAAGTATTGGAACTCTTCAACTCCAGGGGAAAAGACAATAAAGTTCAAACTACGTTGCTTATGTCCTTTATACTAATGAATAAAACCTTTCTTCTTTTCTTTTTATGGAATCCGATTTTTTTCCATATATTCCCCATCAGAACTTAAATCTCCTAGCATGCTGCAATCCTACCCCAGTGCTATGATTTGTACAAACTTGAATCTGCACTACGAGAGGATGATTGCATTTTGATATCACTTATCACAACCCTTCTGTTTTTGAGAAGTTTTTTTTTTAATTCCTAGATATTCCAATGTACAACTTTGATCTCTATTGTGGCCCCACCCTGCCCCCAGGGGCCAGATTTAAAAAACACACACAAAGTGGTCATTGAGCCAGTTTTCACCTATTGGTTGAAACGGTATCACACGTTGAAGGGTTTTCCATACTAAATAATATATCATTGTTTTAAAATATTCTGGTGTAATGCAGGTACATAGACAAACGCGTTGAAGTTAATGAAAATTTTTGTAAGATGTAATAGTAATTAATAAATGTCTTTAGAATTGTTAAAATGATTCATAGTTTTTTTTTCTTACATCACATCGTTAAAAGTATGCACAGTGACGGATTTTATCACTTGAAGTTCTAGTATTAGTGCGAATTAGAAAGGAAGTTTTCTTTGTCATCGATTTATTCTGTAACTAGAAATATGTCCATAGGCCATGAATGCCCCGCCGAGGGTATATTAGTAATGCAACATTTTAACACAAATTGAGAAAAGTGAGGTCAAGGTCAAAGGAAAGGTCAATGTCAAAAAATATTGATTCAGTTGAATAGCTTACATCAGTATGTATCAGCATATGAAGTTTGGCACTAATTTAAGAAAAGTGAGGTCAAGGTCAAAGAAAAGGTCAAGGTCAAAAAATTGTTGACGCAGTTGAAAAGGTTACATCAGTATGTATTAGCATATGAAGTTTGATAAAAATATTATGAATAGTTTCTTTAAAACTGAGATAAACACTAATTTAAGAAAAGTGAGGTCAAGGTCAAAAGAAAGGTCAAGGTCAAAAAATATTGATGCAGTTGAATAGCTCTTATCAGTATGTATCAGCATATGAAGTTTGACACTAATTTAAGAAAAGTGAGGTCAAGGTCAAAGGAAAGGTCAATGTCAAAAAATGTTAATGCAGTTGAATACTTCTCATCAGTATGTATCAGCATATGAAGTTTGATAACACTATCTTGAATGGTATCTTTAAAACTGAGCTAAAAACTTATTAATTTAAGAAAAGTGAGGTCAAGGTCAAAGGAAAGGTCAAGGTAAAAAATATTGATGCAGTTGAATAGCTCTCATCAGTATGTATCAGCATATGAAGTTTGTTAAAAATATCTTGAATGGTTTCATTAAAACTGAGCTAAACACTAATTTAAGAAAAGTGAGGTCAAGGTTAAAAGAAAGGTCAAGGTCAAAAAATGTTGATGCAGTGGAATAGCTTACACCGGTATGTATCAACATGTGAAGTTTGATTATACTATCTTGAATGGTATCTTTAAAACTGAGCTAAACACTAATTTAAGAAAAGTGAGGTCAAGGTCAAGTGAAAGGTCAAGGTCAAAAATGTTGATGCAGTTGCATAGCTCTCATCAATATCTATCGGCATATGAAGTTTGATTACACTATCTTGAATGGTATCTTTAAAACTGAGCTAAACACTAATTTAAGAAAAGTGAGGTCAAGGTCAAGTGAATGGTCAAGGTCAAAAAATGTTGATGCAGTTGCATAGCTCTCATCAATATCTATCAGCATATGAAGTTTGATGAAAATATCTTGGATAGTTTCTTTGAAACTGAGCTTTGAACAGAGCTAAACGCAAAGTGTGACGGAAGGACAGAAGGACGGAAGACGGACATGACAAACACTACATGCCCCGGCCATATTCATGGCGGGGCATAAAGATCGCCATCTGCAATGACTTCAGGGTTTTGTATTATTTCAACAAAAATTTGGGATAAAACTTTAATTATTGAAATAATTTATTGTAAAAATACAAGAACAAATGACCAGCAACTCTTTCCAGAACAACAATAGCATGAGTGGTGGCTTCATCAACCTGACAAAGAAATTGTATTTCAATAAGTAAGGAACATCAAATCAGTTGTAATCATTGCTGCACTGACTGTTTTAAAAATTGTCTTTTACCTGCATAAGTTGCAGCTCCCAGAGGATAGTAGCCAGTGTTAGATCCTGTTCCGAATGAACCAATGGAACCGATGGCAGAAGCTAAAGAGGTTCCTCCCAAGGCGGCGACATTGCTTGCTGCTGGGACTGCTGCCCCAGTCGATACGACACCCCCGGTAGACAACCCGCTTGTAGCGTAGGCAGGGTAACTAGCACCAGTATAATAACTACCGCTGTACATAGGGTAACCTCCAGAGTAATATCCCCCACTGTATGCAGGATATCCGCTGCTGTAGTATCCTCCAGAGTAGGAAGGATATCCACTGTAATATCCTCCATACGACATACTGGGATAGGACGATGCATATCCTCCATACGACATACTGGGATAGGACGATGCATATCCTCCATACGACATACTGGGATATGATGTTGCATATCCTCCGTAATATCCACCTAGACCGCCTCCGTATCCCAATCCTCCATATCCCATGGCACCCATGCCGCCCCCATACCCCCATCCTCCGTATCCCATATTGCCCATGCCACCATACCAGTTTCCGCCCCAGGATCCGCCGCCACGTTTACCGTATCCTTTGAACACTGAAATTATGTCGCCGAAATGCTGATAATTATCAATTCTTACAAGTAAGTTAGATTGTAATAAATATTACATAATAAAATTTTACCCACTCAAATTTCACAAAAATAACGGAACACGGGCCCGAAGTACCCGGGGCGGGGTTGGGGGACTGTAGTTTTGATTTGTAAATTTTCACTTGGATGCTGCATCCCCCCTTTCCACTTTTTGTTGCTGTACGATCGAACACTGGTTAATACCAGCATTAAAAAAAAATACAAGTAATTGTAACGAAAAGTTAGTCAAAGGTCCAGCCCCCCCCCCCCCCTCCCCCGATATTGTTTGTATTTTCATACGTATGTCTAGTAATGCATTTTTTTAAATCAGAGACTTACTACGCCTTGGTTGAGGGCGTCTTTTATATCCACCAGCCTCCACAGAAGCTATGATTGCCAACACCAACAGCACGAACAGGAACTTCATTTTCACCTGAAAGTTTAGAAAATGGAACTGTAATCTTTTTGTTTCTATAACTTTTATATATACTATAAAACGTACGGAAGGATTTCTTTCTAATAACTTTTTTTTTCGAGAATCGGATTAAAATTTATAACATCATTTGAGTTATAAAACAAGTTTTGAAAGATAAATGTGTCATCAATAAAAAAAAATATTAAAAAAAAAATAACAATTTACATATTCAGTACATCGATTATCGACTGGTTAAAGACTTTTCATTTCTGAGCTCTAATATCTTAACTATAAACTAAAGGATAATCATGAGACAGACCGAGAAAAACATTTCATTAATGAAAAAAAAAATACTTTGCATTGACATACTTTATATTTTAAATCTGACATTAATTACAAATTGAAGATAATGAAATGCACACCAAAATGAATTTAATTTTAAGCAACAATATATATCATGAAACAATTGTTAATTAAGCCAGTGTCCTACCCCCGTGCAGACTTGTGGTCCTAAAAAGATTGAGTCAACTCCTGTACACGCGGACATTAAACATTTGCTTCTTATACTACACGTAATACCACGTGGAGATACCCACGATTTTGATTGGCCATGTCGTAATAAATGTGTTCGATAAGAAAGTTCTGTATAATTGCGGTGATTTGATCGATGGTTTGTTACTATGTTACGTGATGTTTTGTCAAGAACGTGTATTGGTCAGGGTACTGGTTAGAATGGTGACCCGAAGTGAGTAAGTATACCGGGAAATAAACGGCGACAAAGACATCTATCGGATCTATATTTAACAGAAAAAACATTTTAAATCAGTACGTTTCTATAGTTAAGACTGTAAATTTTTCATATTTGAAATTTTCAATGAAATGCAAATGAAATTATATTATTTTTTCGATCATCGTTACGAAGGACTATGAGTGCTAGGCATGCATTGTTGTGTTTTCATTGTCGTAAATGAAAAGGTTAATATTTTGGCAATCGGTTGATATCATTAACTTCAACTGTTCAGTGCTCATGGGATAAGTACATTAGTGTTGTTGTATTGGTCTCATCCTGATCTTTTTCTTTTTAAATGTAAAGGTAAAATTTTGTTTTCAACAGAAAGGAGTAAAGCAAGTTGCTTATCGCCAGATCACTTGGCCGTGTAATTTATTTCTGTCTAATTACTGGTATATATACACACACCACTGTGTGATACTGTCCATGACCAAAGTCCCCGCAGGTGATGTTACATGTATTTGTGCATAAAGAGTTTGAAATTCAGCCATGTTCACCCTCTACTATATTAGATGATATAACTTATTCACATTTCCTATGTAATAGAGATATCATTTTTGCATATTCATGATTCAACGTAGTTTGGACCAATATACATGTGTCCAACCAGGGGTCATTGTCTATTAAGTGACCCAGCTAACCCTTCACGTCTTCTCCCGATTTGTCCATATTTGCCCTAGAGTAGAAATGTACAAGAATTTATTTTATCTCAGGTTACAGTTTTGATAACATATGTGTGTTAATTATTCCCTTATTTTACCGTTGATACATGTAAGTATATTAAATGATGGGCTTCATTTTTATGAAACTGTTGATATTTCATGCAAATGATACTATTATTCTGTCTCAAACGCCAAGTAATTTACAATATGCATCACATGAATTTTCCGTGTATAGTAAAAAGCGGAAACTTCAAGTAAATATTTATTTAACTTAACAGCATATTGCTTAAATATGCATTTAAGGAGGAATTCATAAAAATTATTTTATCTTTTAAAAAAATGTCTAACAGACTCTTTTGACATATTTTATTTATAGATATTTTTATTATGCATAGATTCTACATCAACTAAATATTTTCTCTATTTCTTATAAAAAAAAAAACGATTGCCCTTTTCGCATTAACAATAAATAATCTATATTAGAACCTCTGTTTGAAAGATTTTATGGAGAAGCAGGCTCTTCCATCAATGTATCTACGACCCAATTATACAATATTTTACGTTCTTTCCCTGAATTGCTTATGCAGATATAAATATAAAAAAATTCGTATTTGTTAATACAGGGAATAACGATTGCTATCATTGCAGAAAAAAGGACGACTGCACTTAGGACTGATTTTTTTTTCGGTGGCTTCTGTAACTTCCATGCCTTACCTAATTCAACTCCTTTTCACGTCAATTTGAAATGATTGATGACTGTGATGCAATAAAATAAGTTGTTCTTTTTTCGCCCTCGCTGCTTTGGAAATTACATTGTCTGATCTATACTGGTAAATATGCAGGAGAGGTGGAGCTAATACTGTAAGAATGATTTTTTTTTTTTCCCATATATGGCACCAGGTTTCAACAAAGGTTTCAATAAGAGCAAAAAGATGTAGAAGAAGAAGATCGTAAATCAATGCCTGACAATTTTACATGTTCGAACACAATTCCCTAGTAGATCAGTCAGGAAAGAACATAACATTCAAAACTCATGCTACCCTACAAGTCGCGTGACAAATTAAGTATTCACAATGTTATGCCCTGTTCACACGGAGATTTTAATTCGCAGTAAATTAATGCGAAGTAATGCCCTGTTCACACGGAGAGTTTAATTCGCAGTAAATTAATAGGAAATAAAATAATGCGAATTAAATTGCGTTCACACGACAGATAATGCGAAGTAAACTAATGCGAATTAAAATTTTATTTCTACAGTAAGGCTTTTCAGTAAGGCTATTCTGACGTCATTTTCAAATCACGTCACCTTATGCAGAGCAAATCCATTTGACATAATGTCATAGTGTCTATACACATTTCAGTGATTAACGTAATTTTCCTTTGTTTTGCACTAAAAATGGCATAGGTACCTATAACTGACCACCGTCATGTGGCAGGTGATTTAATTTTGCTCTTACGCATGCGTCAAAATTTAATTCGAATTAGCTTCGCTTAGCGTTCACACGGAGCTAATGCGAAGTAATTTAATGCGCAGTAAACTAATTCGAATTAAACTAATTCGCATTAAATTCTCCGTGTGAACACGGATCAAATTTAATTCGCAGTAACTTACGTTTAATTCGAATTAAACTCTCCGTGTGAACAGGGCATAAAATGATGCGAATTAAACTAATGCGAATTAAATTGCGTTCACACCTAATGCGAAGTAAACTAATGCGAATTAAAATGTTAATGCCCTGTTCACACGGAGAGTTTAATTCGAATTAAATTAATGCGAAGTAAACTAATGCGAATTAAACTAATGCGAATTAAATTGCGTTCACACGACAACTAATGCGAAGTAAACTAATGCGAATTAAATTTTTATTTCTACAATAAGGCTATTCAGTAAGGCTATTATGACGTCATTTTGCGAATCAGGTCATATTGTGCTGAGCAGATACATTTGACCACTGATTTGACATTGTCATAGTGTCTGTACACATTTTAGTGATTATCATATTTTCCCTTTTTTCCACTCAAAAATAGCACAAGTACCTATATCTGACCACCGACATGTGGCTTGTGACGTAATTCTGCCCTTACGCATGCGTCAAAATTTAATTCGAATTAGCTTCGCTTAGCGTTCACACGGAGCTCATGCGAAGTAATTTAATGCGCAGTAAACTAATTCGAATTAAACTAATTCGCATTAAATTCTCCGTGTGAACGCGGATCGAATTTAATTCGCAGTAACTTACGTTTAATTCGAAATAATTCAATTTTGTTTGTATTCTAGCCTCTGATTGGTTAATATCCAAAAAGGAACACAAATAGACCGTTTCACGGTAACTGCGAGCCTGCTCTTCGCACATGCAGGGCAAACTTTCACTTTAATGAAACTTGCGCTTTCGGTTTACTCGATAAACATTAGGCATGGTAAGAACGTGTTGCGTGTTTGGATGTACAAATCGTGATGACACAAAGGGAAAGGAGAAGGGACTTCACTTTTTTAGGTATGTTATCATTTTTTTTCTTCCAAATAATTCATGATAAAATGATCTCAAACATACCTTTGTACAGTGTACATGTATATATAACATAAGGGTATGTCCACTAATTTTCACATTTATGTAATAATATTATACTATTTCCTTTGTTGAGATGCAAAGTAGTTGCGACCTATATAAATGGTTGACTATATATTTCTATATATTTACTTAATTATTTACATAATTACAGTTCATCACAGGATAAATATACAGTTCATCACAGGATAAATATGTAGATCTAGAATCAAACAGTCTTTCTATTGCACATTTTGGAAATTAACGTAATTCTACACAAAATATAATTATACTGGTGTTTCTGTGTGTGTATGTTTTAGAGATTTACAGTACTAAATACATGTATTTATTTCGAGCTTTTTATCAATAAAGATTCCCAAAGGATACCAGAAAACGGCGTCTGTGGATTAAGGCCATCAACAGAAAGGATTTCACACCCAGTGACCACACATGCATATGCTCTGAGCATTTTGTTTTAGGGTGGCATAGTGATGATCCAGAAGATACTAATTATGTCCCAACACTTTTTTCTTACAAGGAGAAGGCTGTGGATGTAAAAAGAGTTGAGAGGATGACAAAACGAAATTTACAGAGGGTATATCAAAAATCAGTTTTTAATATTTACATTTGCTGTGTTTTTCTACTAAGCCAACTGTGAAATTGATATGAATACCATTTTAGTGTATACTCACGCGTAGAAATATGCACTGAGAAACTCGTGCTAAAGTGACGTCACAATGAGGATACAGAGACATTAATAAAGAATGTAACGATATAGGACAGCGAGAAATTCAAACAATGAGTATATTGTTGGTGATTTTGAACATGTAAAATGTAAATATAAGGAATGTTTTTAAGTTTTGTGTGAATTATTGGTGTGTAGATCACACAGACTAGCACGTAGGCATATTTTTCATGAAGTGCTAGCTCGCTTCATGAAATATGCCTACGTGACAAGTCATTCCTTAATTTCATCAATGTAAAAAAGACATACATGTATTGTCTATTCAAGGGTAAACATTCATTAAATGATTGTAGGTGTACAATGTGATCCAGATCCCTTGTTACTTGAGAACAGGAAGCTCCAGTCTGAGTTGAGAAGACTGCAAGATAGTAAATGGTCTGTGGCAAAGATCAAGGATGATGATGCCATGACAAAGTTTTATACGGGACTGCCAACCTTTGCAGTTTTTTTATGGCTCTTCAAGTATGTATATAGGAACATCCAGTCAATATTGACAAATATTATATAAGATTATTTCTGTAATTTTCATTGGCTGAAAGGATGTCAAATGATATTCGTCCTTTTGTGATATTGACGCAAAAGCACATTGGTGGAATATGACATCGCATGACTCACACTTTGGCTCCACCAAAGTTGTGTAGAATGTGACGTCATAATATAAGAAGCATGTGTTTACCATTGTGACTTAATGTCAGCCAAGTCTGTTCAGTTAGGACTTTGTCAGGATATTCATTTTGAGTGATTATATAATATAACTAATATAAATGAATGGTAAGTTTGGTTATAAGGAGCCATGTCAAGTGATGTTGACCTCAGACACAGAAAATGATAGCGACCTCGCAAGCTCGGTTGCTATCACTTTCTGGGTCTTTGGTCAATATCACTTGAGAGGAGTCCTTATAACCACATATCGACCTACACTAAAGTCCATAATTGTATATTGTTATCACCATGATTGTTTAATTTGCAGGATCATGTGATCAAGTTTAAGCCAATGAGATAGTTGGGAATGATATAGTAAAATATGATTTATTAATGTTCTTGAAACCACTTTAGCATCTAATTTATCTATCCATTCATTTACCCATCCCTTGATGTATTAAAAACTTAATTCTTTTATATTCAGTTATCTGGCTCCCAAATGTGAGAGAATGGTATACTGGAGAGGCAGTTCCTCAACCCCAGAAGAAAGGAGCAGAACTAGAAGGTGCATGGCTTTGGAGCCTATTGATCAATTCTTAGCAACCTTGATGAGACTTAAGGTAATCATAGGAGAAACACAATATTATATTATATTATATTAATTGTTCCATGCTTTTTGATTTAAGGGTTCATTTAATATTTAAATTTTTTATATGTGTCTTCAATATTTAAAGGTTGGCTTGTATGTCCAGGACATGGCAGAGAGATTTGGAGTGTCAACAGGGACCTTTTCGCAATACTTTGCAACTTGGGTGTGCCTTCTCTACAAGGAACTGAAAGAGCTTAATCCCTTTCCATCTAGGGATATTATACAGAGAAATATGCCATCATGCTTTCATTCTTTTTCAAATCTTAGAGTTATACTTGATTGTACAGAAATATTTATTCAGAGATCTAGCAGTTTGATTAATCAGAATCAGTCATTTTCACACTACAAGCATCATACCACTTTAAAGTTTCTTATTGGAATCACTCCCTCTGGTGTTATATCTTTTGTTTCAGAGAGCTTTGGTGGGAAGGTGTCAGATCGCCAGATGATAGAGCGATCCCTCTTTCTTGAACTTCTGGAGGAAGGGGATGGGGTGATGGCAGACAAGGGTTTTACTATACGAGATTTGCTAGAAAAAAAGGGCTGCACTTTGAATATCCCACCTTTTCGTTCTTCTTCTAACCAATTTTCTACTAAAGATGTTTTCGAAACTCAAGATATTGCTAAATTAAGAATTCATGTAGAAAGAGCTATAGGTCGTGTAAAGAATTTTCATATTTTTGATGGTATTCTTTCTCTTTCTTTAGTGCCATTAGCGTCACAGATGTTTGCTGTTTGCTGTTGGATTACAAACTTTGATGTCCCTTTGATTGAGAATTAGGTAAGTTAAAGAACAATTTAAAACTTCAAGTATTCCTTTAACGCCTGCATAATGGTATGAATTGAATAGGTGGGAAGACAGAAGTGGAAATGTTGAACACTACTTCTTGAATGTTTTCTTCTATAAAGTTAAAATGATAAGGTCCTCATTTGATCTGATGGCTAAAATTATCAGAAATATTATGCAAAGACAAATTGGTCAATCAACACAGGTTTCAATGAGGTATCATGGAGTTTTACTATTTAGTATAAGAAGGTGAAATATAACTAACAAAAAATTCTACAAGTTTGGGCATCATTGAAGTTACAAAGGTAACATCGAAATAAACTCTCTCGATAAAGCAATTGCTCTGAGAGGCAGCTGTCCAAACCACAAAATCTCCCCATGAGCAACCCATGATGGCCATCTCTCCCTGAATCTGGGCATAGTATTTGTGGGATCTTTTCAAGCGAGGGCCCTCATCAGTCATCTCCAGACAGAAACCACCTTGTCCAGCAAGTTCATGCACCTATAAATTAAATTTCTGTAGATCAGCAATTCAAAAAACAATTAAGCTGAATAAATGGGAAAAAAAAAAATGCTACTGTTGTACCTCTCTGTCTGTGATGACTTCATTGGAAATAGAATAAGGACATTTAATTTCCAGCACCCCTTTCTGGTTACCCACTGGCATGGACTTATCATATATCCATCCATCACTAGAGGCACCTAAAAATGCATGAGATGGATATATGGTAAGTCCTGATGGTTCCACTGTTAGATTAGTAACGCAATTCTGGAGGCAGAGATAGTCCTGGAGGGCTTCCTTTTCATGGTCTATGCCCCACTGTATTGCTTTGGGCAGTGACTGGTATCTAAAATAAACATTCATGAATGTAATCAATAAGTGTTTTAATTCCAAAATGTTAAATTTTTTGCATGAAATGTACTGTACCTGTCTAGACCAGATCCTTTAATTATCTGGTCTACCAGGGAGTTAGGGTTAGCACCAGAGCCGAGAACTGCACCAAAGAGAGAACTGGTTATTCTCCCTTTGTGCAGCTCTCTCCATATTGGACAACATCTTTGGCCCTGGGTTCTCTCCTCAATGAATAAGCTGAGGTTTTCATCAATTGAGATTGCCATCGGCACTATTATAAAAACATGGAAAATAAATTTGAATTCTGATCAGTTACAAGTAATTATATAATCTGAATTCTGTGTTTATTTTTTCTTACAGTTCTCCTTGGACAGAATTAGTGCCTTCATTGCCATCTCCATAGGATCCTCAGATGTCTGTACCTCCACTTCTTTTACTACTTCTGGTGTTTCATCTGGGATCATCCATAAATGACACATACCTGACATTTTAAATCATATATTAAATTTGATCTTTTGTTTATTGTAAGAACCTAATAAATACATTCACTGTTGCAAGGCATGATTTATTGATCATTTTATATTATTTGAAATACAGACAAACCTCGTTATCTCGAACTCAATGGGACCAAGAAAAAAAACTGAGATATCCGAGTATTCAAGATATCAAGGGTTAAATACCTAAAGAATAAGTGGCTGGCAATTCCAATTGACATCGACATATCCATGGTATTCGAGATATCGGTGTTCGAGATACCGAAGATCAGCTGTATTTACGAAGTGTTATTGGTGTAAAAATATAAGATATTCTAAAACATCAAATCTCATAATTTTTCACTACATTGTAATACCATATCTATATCCAATTTACAAGCTCACCAGTTTTGGGGAATATTTTCTTAAGAATCTTTAGTTGTTCAATTGAGTGAGCAAGTTGAAATTCCCTCTGATCTGGGTGACGTGGATCAAAGTCAATCTGTTTCTTTTCCCTGAACTCAACCTGGCCTTCCGAGCTCAACTTGGGTCGACTTAAGTTCCAGTCTTTCAAGGGCTTTGGTTCCATTTTCATAGGGCGGGGGACATTCCATTGACATGATTTAGAGGTGGCACTATCCGACATTAGCTTTTCACTAAGTTGTAGGTGGTGAATGTAAAAAAGTAGACCGCCTATGTGGCTGCATGACTGGGCCAAACTTTAATGAAATTTAATTATAGATACAATGTAGACTAGAAGTTAATGCTTGCTGTATATATGAAAGGAGTCAAGATAAAGAAAGGGATTTTATCAAATTAATTTTTATTTTATTAAAAATGCTACCTTACCCAATTGGACATTCACAGTAGGCAAAGCAGACTTTTTGCTTGTTTTCTACACAAATATATACATGGTACTTGATTTTTTTCATGGAGGCCAAGCAGGATCCCCTTATATAATCCACAGAGTCGTCAATCTAAATGTAAGCAACCTTGCATTTTCATATCACTAAATAAACATGTGGGCATGTATAAACATGTGGGCATGTACATATTCAATTTTCATATACACATACAATTTATTAGCTGCAATAATTAGCCCTCACCATTGTTGTGGGTTTTTTTTCTTGGGGGGGGGGGGGGGCTAGCCCTCTCCTAAAAACACCAAATAAAAATTATAGGAGAGGGATACATTATTACAGCTAAGAATTTATCAGTTTGTAATTAATTTAAATTCATAACTCATTTTAGGAAATACAAAATGTTGATAGAATATTGTGTTTGTGCAAGGACAAAAGAATCATATTGTTCTTCTAATTATTATGTGTACACTTGTAATTTTATTTTCTTAAATTTACCTGTGCTATCATAACTTGTGAAATATCACCAGCTTCGAAATGTTTGATGGCTCTGTCAAGACCCCTGTGGTTATTAACTTCCTTCCCATCTGTTGTTTTCCTGAGAATCATATGTTGATAAATTTGTTGGAAGGAAATCTGAGGCATGAAAGTGGGCGTTACCGTAATATACGAGGCTAACTGCAAAGGGGGGAGGTTTTCGTGACCTGGAATGTCTGGTACAACACCTTCCAGGGAAGATGCAAAATATTTGATAGGCACTTCTTGAAGAACTTCCTTATTTTTCCTCTTTGGATCTTTTGAAATCTCCCGGGTCGCCATCTTTTGATTAGTAAACACGGAAGTGCCCGCAGTGCACTAAAATCGACGCTTTAATAATTTATTTTTGCAAAACATCTCGTATATTTAAATAAAAACAAAAGATCCTAATGTAATAATTACAAAACCACAAAAAACAAACTCAATTTCATATAAATTCTGTTTATTGGGGACGTGTAAATAAGTGTCCTATCTTGATTTTAAACGCGGAAGTGTCCGTAGTACACCAAGATTCATGCTTGAATTTAAAATTTATTTTACAAAACATCTCGTATATTTAAATAAAAAACAAAAGAACTTAATGTAATAATTACAAAAACACAAAAAACAAACACAGTTTCATATAAAATTTGTTTATTTGGGACGTGTAAATAAGTGTTCCGTTTTGATCACTCATAGGAAGAATTGAAAGTAGTTTGCCCTGCGGAAGTCTTTATGCGCATGTGCGGAAATTATCGTGAAACAGTCTATTATTTCTGTATAACCTGGTTTGGTATGGGGACACACCCCCCTGACAACCAGCTGAATCGTCTGTATCCATGCAATCCTCTCATTTCCAGTCCTCGGGATTCATGGAAAATTCCAGATTTAATAAATGTACCTTTAACTTCAAACAGTAACTCGGATCTTACCACATGTAAACAAAAAACATGGCTAGGACTATGTATCAGTTTTTACCTCCCCTCGCTTCCCATCACTTCCGTTACTAGGGTTGTATTATTGAGCGGCAAATTTGAACTAATAAAAAGCAACGAAATTTTACACCCAGAGTTGTTTAATGATTTTAGAATTAAATTATAAGGAATGACTCTAATTCTTGGCCAAATTATTCGAGGATAACCTGGTTTGGGTCAGTTTACGCTGTTTTATAATCCGCTTCGCGGATTATAAAGCGTAAACTGACCCAAACCAGGTTATCCTCGAATAATTTGGCCAAGAATTAGAGTCATTCCTAAATTAAACTCTCCGTGTGAACAGGGCATAAATTTCTACTATTAGGCTATTATGACGTCATTTGCAGATCACGTCACATTGTGCAGAGCAGATGTACATTTGACATAATTTCATAGTGTCTGTACAGTTTTTAGTGATCAAGATAGTTTTCCTTTGTTTTCCACTCAAAAATAGCACAAATACCTATATTTGACCACCGACATGTGGCATATGACTTATTGCCCTGTTCACACGGAGAGTTTAATTCGCAGTAAATTAATGCGAAGTAAAATGGTGCGAATTAAACTAATGCGAATTAAATTGCGTTCACACGACAGCTAATGCGAAGTAAACTAATGCGAATTATAATTTTATTTTTACAACAAGGCTTTTCAGTGAGGCTATTATGACGTCATTTACAAATCACGTCATATTGTGCAGAGCAGGTATACATTTGACATTATGTCATAGTGTCTGTACACATTTTAGTGATTAACATAATTTTCCTTTGTTTACCACTCAAAAATAGCACAAGTACCTATATTTGACCATCGGCATGTGGCCTGTGACTTAATTCTGCCCTTACGCATGCGTCAGAATTTAATTCGAATTAGCTTCGCTTAGCGTTCACACGGAGCTAATGCGAAGTAATTTAATGCGCAGTAAACTAATTCGAATTAAACTAATTCGCATTAAATTTTCCGTGTGAACACGGATCAAATTTAATTCGCAGTAACTTACGTTTAATTCGAATTAAACTCTCCGTGTGAACAGGGCATAATTCTGCCCTTACGTATGCGTCAAAATTTAATTCGAATTAGCTTCGCTTAGCGTTCACACGGAGCTAATGCGAAGTAATTTAATGCGCAGTAAACTAATTCGAATTAAACTAATGCCCTGTTCACACGGAGAGTTTAATTCGCAGTAAATTAATGCGAAGTAAAATGATGCGAATTAAACTAATGCGAATTAAAATGCGTTCACACGACAGCTAATGCGAAGTAAACTAATGCGAATTATAATGTAATTTCTACAACAAGTCTATTCAGTGAGGCTATTATGACGTCATTTACAAATCACGTCATATTGTGCAGAATAGATATACATTTGACGTAATGTCATAGTGTCTGTACACATTTTAGTGATTAACATAATTTTCCTTTGTTTACCACTCAAAAATAGCACAAGTACCTATATTTGACCATCGGCATGTGGCCTGTGACTTAATTCTGCCCTTACGCATGCGTCAAAATTTAATTCGAATTAGCTTCGCTTAGCGTTCACACGGAGCTAATGCGAAGTAATTTAATGCGCAGTAAACTAATTCGAATTAAACTAATTCGCATTAAATTCTCCGTGTGAACGCGGATCAAATTTAATTCGCAGTAACTTACGTTTAATTCGAATTAAACTCTCCGTGTGAACAGGGCATAATTCGCATTAAATTCCCCGTGTGAACGGGGGTCAAATTTAATTCGCAGTAACTTACATGAGCATTACATGAGGTGAAAAATCACTTTGTGAATTATATATAATATATATCCAATAGGTTACAATGCTTGGTACTAAAAGAGAGAACGAATATTAAAAAAACAAACAAACAATACAAAACGTTTGTTTGAAAATCTCCTTTTGACACAAAATTATTTACTGTATACAAGTTTCTTTTCGCTCCATTTTATTTCCTTTAACACTTGCAAATAATTTTGTCCCGTTTATTCTTCCAAACACAGTTGTGTAAAAGAGATAAATCTTTTTTTTTTTAATTCGCCCCATTTTTTTAATTCGCCCACTTGTGACGAGGACGAAAGTGGCGAAAATAAAATGAGGGCAAAATTTCCCCGTGTACAATATACAGATATACAACTACCATTAAATGGAGAACAATAGACAAACATGAGTTGACAGTATTAATTAAGTCATTAAAAAATGGACATCCTCATTTTCGTATGGAGATTCAAGAAATTCTGGATTATAACCCCCGCTATGAAACCGGATTTGTACTTCGCGAGTACAGTATTTTAATTAATATAATTATACACAAAGTTGTTGTTTAGATGTTAACCATTTTTACAATTTACAGGAAAATTTATTTTGTCGCAAATTTTATGTCTCGTTCAGTGCAGTCATCCTTTACATAATCCTCTTAAGGTAGTCCGATCCTCAGGTTCTGAAAATCAGCTTTTCAATAATTAGGGAATGACTCTAATTCTTGGCCAAATTATTTGAGTATAACCTGGTTTGGGTCAGTTTACGCTTTATAATCCGCGAAGCAACTGCATCAATATTTTTTACCTTGACCTTTCATTTGACCTTGACCTCACTTTTCTTAAATAAGTTTTTAGCTCAGTTTCAAAGATACCATTCAAGATAGTGTTATCAAACTTCATATGCTGATACATACTGATGAGAGTTATTCAACTGCATCAATATTTTTTGACCTTGACATTTCCTTTGTCCTTGACCTCACTTTTCTTAAATTAATGTTTATCTCAGTTTTTAAGAAACCATTCATAATATTTTTATCAAACTTCATATGCTAATGCATACTGATGTAACCTTTTCAACTGCATCAACAATTTTTGACCTTGACCCTGCTTTGACCTTAACCTCACTTTTCTTAAATTAGTGTCAAACTTCATATGCTGATACATACTGATATAAGTTATTCAACTGCATCAATATTTTTTCACCTTGACCTTTCCTTTGACCTTGACCTCACTTTTCTCAATTTGTATTACAATTTTGCATGGCTAATATACCCTCGGCGGGGCATTCATGTGCTATTGACATATTTCTGGTATTGTTTAAATTAACAGCAAGTCCAAAATGTCTTCTTTGCACCAAAACAGTTTTCAATTTTCTTCAGAAAAATATGCTGTTTTTTTTAATCGTATATAATTATCAGCTTATATTGGTCTTTAAACTTTAAACATCCATGAAGCAAACTATTGATGTGTCAAGGGACATGGACACACCTGTATTGTCGTTTTGTTTACAATTAATCAGTCCGAAACCCTGTCGCAACACATAAGTCATGAAACTCTACCGAAAATTTTGAAGGATGTAAACATCAAAACTGTGTCTGTGTCCCTTTTACAACAAAGCCACGCAACTCTCAACGATTGTTTGCATGTACATCGTGTTTGTGATATGATCCTTAAATAAATACGAATGTCGCGTCTTCACAAAGTATTTTTAAGGTAGTAGTATACTCCACATTCGATCTCTTAAAGCTGTGCGATCCGATCTTCTTGATCTTAATGATAAATAAAATATACCACCATCATTCGTTTAGTGTGTAAAAGTTTCTCTGTCACTTCAAAAATTAGACACAGTCTCTAATTCGCATCTGTTCCAGAGAAAAAGAAATTGGAAGGTTTAAATAATTATTGTAGTTCCACAAGAGATACGACAACAAATAAGGCACTCAATCGATAACATGAGATTTCACGCTTGCACATTTAAGAGTTGTGGAAAGCTGGTAAATTTGACAGAATCGGGACACAAGAGAAGAGCAGGGGTCACACAGTCTACTTATTTGAATAAAGAAAATTCTTAAACAGTGCATGAGGGAATAGGTGTTAAACTATGAAATTCTAACCAGCAAGCAAAAAAAATTTTTTTTTTAATTTAATTGAGATTAATTTTCAGCTTCTTATTTGACGAATCATGGGCGTTTATCTATTCTTATTCGCCCTTGTTCTTTGATAGTCAACAAAAGCTTCTACGAAACTGCAAATTTCAATTCACATGAGTCCACAATTCCAATCCCAGGAGTGTCTGAGACTCTGAGTTGGTCCTGAGAAACTTATGACACTCAGGTGACAGTAAAGGACTGTTGACTTTTTCTTTAGATAGAACATTTGCAAGTGCTAAGTTTTCGTTAGAACCATGAAGTGTAGCAATGCAAGACAATACTACTGTATTAACGACAAGGCACCTCTGAAAAGGACCAAAAAGGGAAATTTTGCATTGAATCCGCACAAAATATATATAATAATTCAATACATCACAATGTGTGGCATTAGATGTATTTTACCTTTTAACTCCATCAACATTTTTGCTGTTAAAAGATTTATATTTTAAAAAAAAAATAGATGGGATAACAATATTTATATATCTAACAACAAATACAGTAAAAGTATCATCCAAAATATTATGCTTAATATATATTACATTATGATATTATGATATAAACAAGACCCCTGACTGACACCCGCAAAAGAAGCTGGAACAACACAAGCTGAAAATAAAAAAAAAACTCTAATTTAGAACAAACAACAAAAAATCACTAACTATTATACATAGATTGTCAGCGTTCAAAAGTCACGGGGCTTTTTTTACTTATAGATGCTTTTAATTCAAAAATGTTGTTAATTCAAAATATATTTAATACATGTAAAGTTAAAAAATACATGTACCTCAAGTTTGCGATTTCTGGATATAAGCAAACGAAATATGTTCGAAAGTTTTGTATGATCACACTACTAGTAACCTTCTTCGCCTCATTATATCTGGAATACAAAATAAAAAGGCAGACAGATTATAAAAAGTACGTGCATTGAATACCTTACACGTGGATTTCACGCTAAAGTGAACTTACAAGCTGGCAATCGATTGCGGGGTATTCGGCTGACGGGCATCAAGACTCCCGTCCTTGCTGAGCTCCTGTCTCCATTATCTCTAGCAGAACCCCCCTCTTGCATTATCATGCGTCCATTTCCAATCAACATCATTCTACCGTTACTGCTTATCATCAATCTCCTGTTTCCACTCATCATGCCACTTTCACTCATCATTCCTCCATTTATTACTCTCCTGTTTTCATTCATCATTCCACTGTTTATCATCATAACGTTTCCATTCATCATCTCGCGATTTCTGCTCATCATACCACCATTTTCTCCGTTCATCATCATGTCGTTTTCACTCATCATTCTACCGTTTCCTCTGCTCATCATCATGCCGTTTCCATTCATCATTTCACCATTTCCATTCATCATTCCGCTGTTTCCCCCATTCATCATTCCGCCGTTTCTTCCATTCATCATCATGCCGTTTCCATTCATCATTCCGCCGTTTCCATTCATCATACCACCGTTTCCTCCATTCATCATCATGCCGTTGCCATTCATCATTCTGCCGTTCCCTCCATTCATCATACCGCCGTTTCCCCCATTCATCATCATGCCGTTTCCATTCATCATTCCGCCGTTTCCTCCATTCATCATCATGCCGTTTCCACTCATCATATCACTGTTCATCATTCCGCCATTGTTTCCATTATTCATCATACCATTATTTCCATTCCTCATAGCGTTTTCACTAACCATCATAGCATTATTTCCGCCCATATTTCCTCTCATCATTCCCTCTCCAGTCATTATCATCATCATTCCATTGGCACTTGACATCCTGTTTCTCCCATTTGATGACATGCCGTTATTTCCATTCATTGGCATCATCATACCATTCCCATATGCCATCCCATTCATTGGCCACCCCATACTCATTCCATTCGTCATTTGAGGTGAAGTGAGAGGTGTTACCATGGCAACCGTCTGGGGTCGTCCCACCGGTCTCATTGGTATCATCATGCTCGGGGAACTTCCGCCGTTCATTGGCATCATCATGACGGGGCCATTTATGGCATTCATATTGTTGTTCATTTCGTTCACTCCAAATCCCATTAAAAGACCACCAGCTAAGGTGCCAATTAATGGAATAAGAGCTTCGAACTGAGCGTTGACAGCATGGATCAAGAACAAGAACACAACTTCCAGGACTATTCTTTTCATCTGCAAGAAATGATCAGATCTTAATCTTATTAAGTTCTCTTATTAATAGAATATTCTTAGTTTTAATTCTTTGTTAGAATTTATAGAAATAAAAACACTTATGGGGAATTAATTTTTTTTTCTTTTAAAGAGTTTAGTTTCAACGCAAAGTCCCCAATAACAGATTTACCATGTATCATTCAAAAGTGTACAAATTATCTCGATATTCTATGTCAAAGTATTTGTTTTCATTGTGAGGAACTCAGATCTGGGATTATTTTTTACAGTAAAATTTGACTTATTTTAACGGATCCGATACCCCTATGGTTGTATAACGATACCAATATCCCCTTGAGTGCATAACAGGACCGATACCTCCGCGGGTGCACAATCAAAAGATGCATGTATCATTAAATAACCTCAAAGCCAACCAAATTACATGAAAAAGGTGAAGATAACAAACAGCGGTGGATCTCAAACAGTCTACAAACAATACAAATCTGTGAATAGGGAATAAAACACGGATCCCCGGAAATTCCAGAGGTGGGATTAAGCGCCCAGAAGGAGTAAACATCCCCTGTCGACCAGTTACACCCGCTGTGAACCCTATGCAAATGATCAGTATAGACGGAATATTTCGTTGTCAATTTTATTATTATAAAATACTAGTAATAGTAAAAGGCCTAACAATTGGTATGAAACATGTCAGTCAAAATACGACCCAAGAACAGGTTATATTTGCTAACAAGGTCATCGTAACGATCATAAAGTTTACAAAACGCTGACTTTAAACAAGGTTGTTAGCCGTCACGGTAGGTCAGTCGGTTGAGCGCTCGCTCCGTGATCGGAAGGTCGTGTGTTCGAATCACGGCCGCAACTGACCTAAGTCGATTAAAAAATAGGTAGCAACTGTTCCTTCGCCAAGCGCTCGACACTTTGAAGTGAAAGTTGCGGGTCCTTCGGATGAGACCTTAAAAACCGAGGCCCCATGTCACGGCAGGCGTTGGCACGATAAAGAACCCTCACTACTCAATGGCCCTGAGTGCTGAGTAAAGGTTTGAAGCCCTTCACCGGCATATGGTGACGTCTCTATATGAGTGAAAAATTCTCGAATGGGACGTGAAACAACATACAATCAATTAATGAATTAAACGAGGTTGTTGAAATCCCTGTAATATCAACTTATTTGTAAGTATCCTGTCTCAAGATAAAAATTGATCGTACTGCGAGCATGCTCTTGAGTATCGAATAAGTTGGGAGAAAAAAACCCATATACAGGTGATAGCGGAATATTACTACTTTAATAGGAAAGTTGACGCTGGAAAAGCCAAAATCATCTCGTTTGTCCTAGTTTAGTTATTAGTTGGCCTTTATCATCTATAGTCAGCAAATCATCCAAATATGAAACAGATGTATCAGACTCTGTGGTGTCTTTTTTTCCCGAGTTCATTGGGATATATGGAATCGACATGAGAATGAAAGTAACTATTTTTAATTAATTGATAAAATGTCGATATATCTGAAGATCGAGTTGAAGGCCACAGCAGGTGTCACATGTATATTCTTCCTGCATAGAAGTTTTTGAATAAATTCTGCTTCATAGAATATAAAAACAGGTCGGCTAATAAAGGAGCGCAATTAGTTCGCATTGGAATTTCAACAGATTGTTGGAAGACCAGGTCTTTAAAGACTATATTATCAACTTCAGAGAACTTTGTAGAATCAGAGAGATTTTTTACAAAGTAATGTTGTTGATGACCAATCACAAGGTAAGCAAATTTACGAGTTCCATTTCGAGTTCCATTTTTATTGAAGAAGCACTTGTTTATCAAATCAAAAAACCTTTTTTTAATTTGTATTAATATTACCCCTAGAAATTAACCGAAAATAGTCCAAAATTTGAGGTTAAATATAGCTACAGGCACATACAAAGGCGGCTGGACAAACAGTGATCCCCCTTTCCCAATTTTGTTGAAAATAGTCCAAAATTTGAGGTTAAATATAGCTACAGGCACATACAAAGGCGGCTGGACAAACAGTGATCCCCCTTTCCCAATTTTGTTGCGATGGAATAAATAATAGACTAACGTTGGTATTCTTAGGTCTTTATAACTAATTCACATTTTGAATCGAAGTAGATATATGTAATTGTAACCCAAGGAAAGTTACTATATATTTTACAGTATCTTATTGCATTTGTTATCAAAGACAGTCTATTAGTATATGAATCATTTGAAATGCGATTTGTTTATCTTGTAAAATATTTTTATTTGTGGGTTGATAAAAAAAAATTATGCAATGTATAATACAGGGTATATCTATCGTTATATTTCGATAGCATGTATAGAACTATGCATGTACACTAAGATATGTGTGTACTTAGTATACGCGTCTGTTACCTACTCTTTTAGATTCAAGGACTATTTCTTATCCAAAGAGTAATTTATAATGTCTTACCTTCAGGTCTGCTATATTTCTCTCTGGCTACAACAGCCATTTTTACGAACTATTTATAATGGCAGTCATGTGACGTAGCTGATAATTAAAAAATCAGTATTTGTTCATCAAAGTTTTGTCTCATTTAAATATTTCAAAAGGTCATCTGTAATTGATTTTATGGTCTTGATAGTAACTATCAAATTTGACATTTAAAAGATGAATAATGGACATACCTGTAAACAGGTGCTAAATCTTTACATGCTTTCTGTCTAAATATGTGATCTCGAATTTTGATACATCTATCAACTTATATTTCACCCTCTGCATGAAACAGTTATCAAGAGGGGCTAATAGAGAGCAACGATCTCAGATACGAGAATGCAGTTAATATATTCATTGTGGTGCAATATCTTGTTCAAATTATGTAAATTAAATTTATAAATAATATAAAAATGAACATCCATTGGGTTTTTCTCCAAATGGATGTAAGTGTTTCATCTTTAAATTACACTTATTTCTATTTTTATTTTGAATATTTCTACCTCGTTTTGTCTCTCTAGCTCTTTGATTATGTAGCCATGATTTGGCGTTCACATCGTTTTTAAGGGGGAAATCTTCAGAAGAAATAAATTCGCTCATATATTTTCTACAAAATATCGAATAAAAACGAAAAATTAGGTGGTGTCAAATTTCTTCGTTGGATGCACATTCAGGTACATGATTTGCTCATAAAATTTCTCACAAAAAAGTCTTTATCTATGAGAAAAACTTATGACTAAGACCAAAGTATAATTTTGTGAATGAATATTTTCTCTATATTAAGGATACTTAACACAAACAAAAATTCGATGCATGGATTGATACATATTTTTTGACTGATTTTGGTTAGAAATGACATAAATAATAAATCCCTAAAATATAAAGAAATCGTAAGATTTCTTTGGTGCTTAGAAATGTGACTTTGTGTCGTTTTCTATATAATTCCACACAAAATTTTGCACAACTTTTTGACCTTATGACAAAATCTTATAAACCTGGTTAACATTATTCGGGTTACCAATTTAAAAATAAATTTATGAGAAACATTGCTGATTTCTGAAAAAAAGTTTGTTTGTGTTATTTATCCTTAATTTTAAAAAATTGTGTATTAAGGTCATACGCAAATGGTGTATTACAAGGGGGAATTTTGTTACCAATATTTTTTTCAATGTATGTTAATGATTTTGAAAGCCATTTTATATGGACTAATTGCATATCAATAGAATTTACAAATGGTTAATTTATGATGCTGATGATACAGTGTTAATGTCAGCATTTTAACAAAAACAGTTTGCAGAAGAAAGAATCATATGACTGATGCAAAATATTGATGTGTTTACTTCCTTCAGTTTTTTTATATGCTGTTTTTCTTTGCGATGCCTATACGTACAAGTCCGTGTAACAGTTTTTCTGCGTTTCTAAACTATATTGGGTTAGTCTATTTCTCTTCTACGAAGGGGTGACACAACCAGTCACGAGCAAATTATCTTCGCGCCTTTTTTCTTGGATTGTTCTATAACTAGGACCGCGAAGATGAGTTTGATTTTTTAACTACAAATTTTATCTTTTCTTTTTTTAATAACACCACATATTTACGTTTAAAAAAAAAAAAAAAAAAAAAACAGACTCCACATCAACAAGGGAAAATTTTTAGTTTTACTTCAGTGGCGGATACAGGAATTTCATAACGGAGGGGGGGGGGCGCAGTAGAAGGCAGGGGAGTCGGGCTGAATTGAAGCTCCTAGCGGGTCCACGTCAAAGCCCTGGTGGAGGCCCCCGGAAACTGACGAATTCTAACAAATAAGAGGTGTTTTTCCCTTGATTTTAGGATAATACAAACGAAATTTCAAAAAACAAATCAAACGGGAGGGGGGTGGGGCACGCCCGGCGCTGGATCTGCCTTTGTACTTTATAATGATTATAATTTTTGGTCAACATTTGTTTAACTGGTTTGATATAATATTTTGCCCTGCATCTAACATTGTGGAAATTTCATCATGCACGTCCAGACCCTTGGTATGGTACGCGGGGGGGGGGGGGGGGGGGGCTTGTCCTCCTTTTTCTGGAATAGTCTTTTTGATATATATAGTTTTACTATGTTAATTGTCATTTTGAAGTTGCTTGCCCCTACCCTCCCCACTTTTTGTTGCTGGACGGTTGAACACAGGCAAATTTCAGCATTTAAAAAAATGTGCCGACAAGTTAGAGTTAAGATCCCCATCCCACCCCACCCATCCCCATGACAGTATTTCGATTTTGGGCAGTTTTAATACAATAAATATCTTTTACCCAAATGTTCACTTTCCAATAAATTTCCATTTTTCCGATAAAGTTAAGATAATAAAATCATGATGTTTTGTTTAAAATCTTAAAATTTAATGAAATATGACCCCCTACCCCTTCCAAACACACACAATTCAAAAAATGGACGGAAACATGTATTTCTTTTCATACTTATATGTTTTATAGATATTAATTGCTCAGTCGGGTAAGCTTTTTGAAAAGCTATTACTTGTACAGAGAATATTAAAATCATCTTGCATCCGTGTTCATGAATGGACATTTTAGCGGAAAATGGACGATAAGGGTAATATTTTTGGACCCTCATCTGACAACCGAAAAAAAAAAACAAACAAAAAACTACAAACAAACAAGCAAGCAAACAAACAAACAAACAAAACGAAAAATTACAACAAACAAACACACACATCTCTATTATCTGTTTTCAAGAAACACACAGTACTCATGAGACTTCAAGGTTATGGGAATCAGAGTGGGGCTACAAATCTTTTTTCAGTAGTTATACAAGCAGCTCAGCCGGAGTTGCAATACTTTTCAAGAATAACTTTGAATTAGATATCCATTCAGTTAAACATGACTCTTTGGGTAGACATATTATAATGGATATTTCAGCAAATAAATTTAGATTTACTTTATTAAATTTGTATGGTCCAAATAATGATAGTCCAGAATTTTTTTCAAAACATAAAAGAAGAAATTACAAAATTAAAAAACATGTCTATCCTTATGTGTGGGGATTGGAATGTTGTTCAAAATAAAGAACTTGACACTTTCAATCTTAATAATCCAAAGGCAAATGAAGTAATAAAGAATATAAAAAATGAACTTGAAATTCATGATCCATGGAGAATCTGGAATGAGGAAGTAAGACAGTACACATGGAGAAGATCAAATCCAGTTATTCAAAGTAGAATTGATTATTTTCTTGTATCTGATTGCATTTTTAGTAAAGTATTAGATACCAAAATAATTCCAGGATATAGAACTGACCACTCAGCAACTGACCACTCAGCAAATGACAGAACTAGAGGGAGAGGTTACTGGAAATTTAACTGTCAATTATTATATGAAAATGAGTATATAGAAAAAGTAAAGCAATGTATTTTGGAAACAATTGAGGAATATAGGGTATCAGGAGATACGAGTATTGAGCAAAGGGAGAGTATTCAATTTAGTATAAGTAATCAATTTTTCTGGGAAGTTTTGAAAATGAAAATCAGATCCTTAACAATAGAATATTCATCTATAAGATAAAAAAACAAAAAACAAAAAATTATAAAGGAAAAAACTAGAAAAGGAAATTTTAGATTTGGAAGGAAAGGTAAATACTTCAGGAAAAGCAGAAGATATTTTGACACTTGAAGAAAAAAAGCAAACTTTACAAAATTCTAGGTCAAATTATATAGAGGGTTTAATGTTACGCTCAAAAGCTACATGTACCTGGTATGAAATGGGAGAAAAAAATTCTGACTATTTCTGTAAATTAGAAAGAAGAAATTTCTTAAATAAAACAATATCTGAATTAATAAACTCAGATGGTAAACACATTTCAGATCAGTCTGACATTCTGGATGAACAAAGGTCTTTTTTTTCTCAAATTTATACAAAAGAAAAAAAAAATAAAAATAATGAAACATTTTTGTCTGAAAATATCTTTTTAAAACACAACGTCAAATTATCTGATGAAGAAAGAGACAATTGTGAAGGTTTTCTGAAACTTCAGGAATGCACAAAGACACTAAAAAATATGAAAAACAAAAAATCACCAGGGTCAGACGGGTTTACAGTGAAATTTTACAAATTTTTCTGGAATGATATAGGTATCTTTGTTATGAATTCTTTAAATGAAGGGATTTTAACTGGAAAACTTTCACAGTTCCAATCTCAGGGGGGTAATTACATGCATTCCAAAAGAGGAAAAGGATAGAAGATACATGAAAAATTGGAGACCTATTTCATTATTAAATGTAGATTACAAAATTGGTTCTAGTACCATAGCGAATCGCATTAAGAATGTGTTGACCAGTATTATAAGTGATACCCAAAAAGGTTTTATAAAAGGACGTTTTATAGGTGAAAATACCAGGTTTTTATATGATTTAATAGATTACCTTAAAGATAAAAAACAGTTTTGTTTGCTTCTTTTATTAGATTTTGAAAAAGCTTTTGATTCATTAGAATGGGATTTTATTGTTAAAGCATTAAAGTCCTTTAATTTTGGGGAGTCATTAGTTAAATGGTTTAATACTTTTTACTCATCCAGCACAAGCTGTGTGATAAATAATGGAAACTTATCCTCCTTTTTTAATCTTGAACGTGGATGTAGACAGGGAAACCCATTAGCACCATATATTTTTATCATTACGGTAGAACTACTAGCAATCTCATTGAAGAAAAATGAAAATATCAAAGGCATATCCATTAATGGGAAAGAAAACAAGCTAGGACAGTATGCAGATGACTCTTTTTTAACATTAGATGGAAGTGAAAAATCACTGAGAGAATCGATGAAATTAATTGAACAATTTGGAAATGCATCTGGTTTGAAACTTATATTTCAAAATCTCAAGCTATATGGTTAGGAAGCAAGGCTGGATCAAAACAAACTCTATGCGAAGACTTAAAAATTAATTGGGGTGGTGACACCTTTAAGCTTTTAGGAATAATATTTACAGAAAACTTAAAAAATATTGTGACTATTAATTATCAATCCAAAAT